AGAGGTAATTAGCAGAGATCTCATCGTCGTTTCTGGAAAATTCGACGAGCTTTCACTCCGTACCAGAACAGTTGGAGTATGTTGTTATGAAACCTTCTGTTCCTTGGATTTTCACAATCTGTATAATGAAGGTTGTACACACTAGTCGAATTCATATATAGTAATAATATTGCAAGTCATCTCCATAACGTTTAATATCATCATCAAATCATAAATGGAAAGAGAAAATGTTTTAGATCTACAGGGTGTTTCAAAAAAACCTAACCCCCTTGCCAGGGCAGGTAGAACATTGCAAAATAAGTTGGGTTTCCTCAGTAAAAAAATGTCGTAACGCCATCCGTTTTCAAGATACAAGGTGTTGAAACAATATTTTTTTACACATTTTTTACGATTATGTTGAAACTATATACTGGCAACATTGTGATGAAATTTTGTATGGATGTTTCTTGGAATCTGACACATCGCATGCATTTGTTTTTATATCTGACTCTCATAGAGGGCGCTAGTTACACGGTTCGTACCGAGTAGTTTTGAACATAACTTTTTTGAGGTTGAATTTTTCGATCCAAATTTGATGTGAACTTGAACATCATTCAATTTCACACCCAAAAGGTACTCTTGGTAAACCTCGATACTGTGTTCCGTTTTCGGAATATTTCGATTTGAAAATGATGAAGTGGTAACTGTTGCTGGTATAAAGCTATGTATTAGAGTGAGTATTATGAAAAATTATCACCTATTTATTTAAAACCGAAAACAACAATACATTTCTGATGCAAAACTCATTGATTTAACAATGAATCACAAGTAAAACATCGAAACAGATTTGTCTAAGAACATGGATTACACAGTTTTGTTGTGTCTTGAGCAGAAAGTCTATGCTACATAGGTGAATTCACGTCAAGAGTTGTGAGACATAATTGAACATCACTGACCTGACTGACCTAACAGCTGATCCTCAACTGTTCAGAAGAATAAGTCATTTTTAAAAAAAGAATATAGAATCGTGTATTCCCAGGGCCTACTCTATCTCACCGGGCCGTAGTCTATCCCCTCTCTCTCGACGCTGACGTCACACTAGTAGGTTGAGATTTCACATCAGTCCGTACTGATGCGTTGGTAATTGATAGGCTATAGCTCATTTACTATAAATTTTAGAAGCACACTCAATCGAGACGAAATGATCCCCAACAAATTCCTCAACTTTTGGTGAAAAAATGAATCCAATAGGATGAATCAATACCGAGTTATGGCGTTGTAACGAAATTCCATTTCATTGAAAATCAGGACGTTGTACTACAGAATACTATTTTTTGCAAATTTGGAATTGGAATAAGATGAAACTAACTCAATATATCAAACTACGATAATGAATCAATTGAATAGTGGAAAAATTGTAGAGCTACCTACAATGAGTCCGAAAGAAATTAAATATAAAGAGCGCGTAAAAAATGAGCCGTTAACCTATCTTCCCAAATTTCGCTGTATTACGATTTCGCGGTAATTCCTTGGACTGGTGAAGGGCGATATACTCTTTATTACTCATTTTATTCCTAAATGGCGTGTGTATGGTTCAGACCAACTAATATTGGTGTCTGAAAAATTCAAAACAATATTTCTACAATGTAAGTCACAACATAAAGTTTTGGAGAATTTAGCAGAAATTAAAATCAATTCCCTTCTCAATTATTCCGAGAATCAATATGTTGCAGTTGTGGGTCTTTTGATTTAATCAGCAGAACATTCTCTAAAACCATTTCAAATATTCTGTTAAACAATTATTGCAAAACAAAACAAAATTAAAAAAGAAAAATTACTGAACTTTCAAGATGAGATATAGTTCAGATTTCAATATTTAGTTTGTGATTAAGATGATGTATATATATTTTTTGTTATTAGTGTATTTCATTTTGTGATATCTATAAATTTTTTTTATTTTGTTATGTTGATCATTTATACAGTTTATTTTGTTTGGTTTTGTTTGTGTATAAGGATTCAACGTTTTATTTTTGATTTTTTGCATATTCATTCATATATCGTTGTTCTGGGTATTTTGTTATTTAAGTCGTTATATTCATTTTTATATCTCTCATTGTTGAGATACATATTTTTTAAATTATTTTTGTTAGGTTGTGTTCATATGAACTCCACATAATTTGACGTTATCATTCAAATATAGACTCTTCAGCAGAAAATAATTGATACCGAATAGGCGTTTTTGTGTAATAACACACTCGAGTGATAGGATTTCTAACGTCATCAAAGTGCGTCCTGATCAACTTCAGAGATAAACGCTGCTAAAACCCTTCGAGATAAAGTGGATGTGTATCATACCGATTTGTAGGCAATCAAATTTCCTACAAAAAAGTCAGTGACAGCATATATCCATTGTTGATAGAATTAGCATGGGAGGCGTCCGAACTTTTTGAACTATTCTGTAATGAACACCTGAATCATCGTTCTACTTGAATTGAAATATCGGTTTGTTGTTGGCCCTTGGGAATTTCAAGAAAAAACTCAGTCAATCTAGATACTATGCGAAATCTTTTCATGGTTGAATCATTTCTGTAAATTGAATATTGGAATTTTGGTAGCTGTTTGAAAAAGGACAATTCTGAATGGCGTCAATTGATTTTGATATGCCATATTTCTGAAATTAATGATCGTAAATCAGTGAAATTTGATTCATCTTCTGGAAAATTCTTTTCTGTACATATTTGACCTCTTGATATTTTTCGCTAACTGTGACCGTTTTCCCGAGGTAAATCAATGAAACGGGAGAGACAATTTCCACTGCCTTGATTTTGTCCCTACTAGTGTGACGTCACGAAAGCGATGCTCCGGCCCGGTAAGATAGAGTAGGCCCTGGTATTCCTCGAAACGTAGGACATTTTGAACACTTACTCTAACGTGCTCTAACTGATTCAATATTTCATGTTTCTAGTCAAATATCTCTTGATTTTCTACTTATGATTCATTGTTCCACCAATAACTTCAGCACAAGGATAATTTTATTGTTTTTGAACCTGAATATATATAGGTAATTGAACTCAATAAAATTCATTTTATACCAGCATCATTTCTACTCCATTATTTCCAAATCGAAATATTCCAAAAACGGAACATAGTATCGAGTTTCACCAAGAGTACCTTTTTGGTGTGAAATTGAATGATGTTCAAGTTAATATCATATATGGATTGAAAAGTCTATCCTCAAAAAAATTATGTTCAAAACTACTCGGTACGAACCGTGTAACTAGCGCCCTCTATGAGAGTCAGAAATAAAAACAAATTCATGCGATGTGTCAGATTTCAAGAAACATCCATACAAAATGTCATTACAATGTTGCCAGTAGTTTTGGAATAATCGTGAAAAATGTGTAAAAAAATAATTTTTTCAACACCTTGTATCAAAAAACGGATGCCGTTACGACATTTTTTCACTGAGCAAACCCAACTTATTTGCAATGTTCTACCTACCCTAGCAAGGGGGTTGGGTTTTTTTGAAACACCCTGTATATAGTATCCATCATCAGCCGATTGAGAGCAAAGTAATAATGATAGGGTATCAATGATAAGACAAGGTAGTTCTCACGTTGAGATGAGAAAAAAATTGGAATCACATGTTACAAGAATTATTTTATGTACATTTAAAACAGAGAAAATACGTTTCTTGTGTTATAATAGGTTTTCATCCCGATATCGCTGGAATAACCTGATGATAACATGTGTTAATTATCTTACCCTGCAATAGTTCAATGCTTAGAGTTCACTGGAATATCGAGAAAAGAAGAAGAATTCCAACCTAACTTTCCAACGTCATTCTCGTCTTTTGCACCTTCATCGCCAAAACGTATTACCTAGTCAAATCTAACAAAATACTGCGAATATTCAAAGGTAATCCTCAGGGTATTATTCAGTTGTGTGTTGTGTTCTCTGTTATCTGCAGTAAAAATTCACTCTAGAAAATATATTTCATATTCTGATTAACATTACAGTCAGAAAAATTTGTGCACTCTGTTACAGAAATAGAGAATGTATATATATCGAAGACTGGAACCTTTGGCACGATAATACACCACACTGTTTTACCACTAACCAAACCGATTTTTTAACGCCTCGACACGTGTTTCGCTAACTATGTTAGTTTTAATCTTCTCCTGAAGATGCTAGTTGAAGATATTTTGAAAAACAAAGATTATTGATAGATGAAGCATATCGACTTCCACTGAACCATGAAATATTTTTTCCTTTTGTTGATTGGAAGATGGAACAAAAGTGTTGAAAATTTTATTCTCAGATGATTCCAAATATCCCGAAAACAACTGAAAATATCTGAAAATGTTATGGAACCAAAATTATTCCTTTTGATAGAATCTACAAAAAGTCCGTATAACATTTTTCTCTGAATTCAATAGTTCGGGAGATACGATGAAAAAACTAAAAAATTTACAAGTTCCTGAATAATCACTTGCCAATAGAAAAAAAAAAAAACAAAAAACAAAAAACAAAAGAAAGTAAAAAAAGCACACTCGACTGTCTTGATTTTTTTTCACAAACTACTTACCTAGCTCACTCGACTGTCTTGCTTAGCTTACTCAACTATATCTTGATTTTTTTCAACACACTACGTATCTAGCTTACTCGACTGTCTTGATTTTTTCCCACAAACTACGTACCTAGCTCACTCGACTGTCTTGATTTCCCACAAAGAAGAAATATGTTGGCATTGTTTTAACTTTCTTTTGTTTTTGTTTTTTCCGTCCCTATTGGCAGTCGAGTGGGCTAAGTACGTAGTTTGATATGATAGTTTCAATATAAAAATATGCTCATGATATGGTGCCATGGCCTCTACTTCCATCTTACATAAGCAATGATCTGCTTTTATAGCGTCGTATAAATTATCTGACCTCTGTACTAATCTAATATCCAATGAAAACTACATCTATACTAATCTAATACCTTTCGAAAACTACGTACCTCACTTGTTAATCACTCACCTGATCGTCGTTGATGAACCACGTGATGTTAGCAGGCGGATCAGAGGCAGGAGCGTAGCACCTCGCCGTTATCTTCTTCCCTATTTCCACTTTAGCAGCCGATGGCTCGATACTCATCACTGGATCACCGATCGGCAAATCTGGAATACAAGGTAAAATCTACATGTCCTTCCTGCATACATGCAGTTTACATTGAACAAAGATAAAAATAATACCAGGCAGTTGTGGCGTCATCTAACAGATTGGGGCACTTGCACCAAATCTAGCTTGAAAATGAATTCTATACCTTTAGAAATTCGTGATCCCAATGAGTTGAACGATTATTTTCTGACTGTTGCTGATAATACTTCTATGGATGATGACTTGCTGTTGCATTATAATAGTAGTTACCTAGACAACAATATCCAATTCACATTTTCAGAAATCTCGATTGGGATGCCCTAAAATGCTTGAAATCACAGGCTTTGGGTATTGATAATATAAGTTTGAGGATGATTACGATTGTATTACCATTTTGTGGTAAAATTAACACACCTCCCAGTTTCAATGACCTGTGTCCAATATGTAGGTATATTGCCCACCTTATCTAAGCTTTTCGAAGAAATATTGTCACAACAAATCAAGAAACATTTGGAATCTTTCAAAATTTTACCTGAAGTACAATTCGGATTCCGGCAAAATCATGGCACACACACGACTGCTCAGAGCAAAGCTTTCGACCTCGTGAATTTTCAACTTCTTCTTGCGAGATTAAAAAACCATAGGTTTCCAGGATGCTGCTTTGAAATTAATGAGTAGCTAGATTCTTATACGATCACAGAGAGTCACAATAGAAAGTAAGTTTTTCAATTTGAAGGAGACTTCTTCTGGAGTACCTTAAGGCAGCATCTTGGGACCTCTATTATTCGCAATATTTATTCTCGATTTTCATCGGCACTATCCTTTTGCCAAGTTCATCTTTACGCAGATGACTTCCAATTATATACACCATGTCAACTGTTGGATTCGGCAGACTGTATAGAAAATATCAATACAGACCTCCGAAACACCACAATTTATCCAGAAAAAAATGGCTTCCGAATTAATCCGAATAAAACCGTTGCACTCTGCTTAGGTTCTCGAAGACAGTTATCACATATACAAGAATTTAACCTTTGAATAAATAATAATATCGAATGAGAAATTGAATTTTGAGGAGGGGAGGTAGATAGCCATAGGCTAACCCCTGCCTTTTGTGTGTAACATTGTGGTGCACAATAAACGATATTATTATTATTATTATTATTATTATTGATTGTAATTCAGAAATCATACATAGGTTGAAATGCAAATGATACAGAGAGGTCACTACCATCGCAATCATAGCAGGAGTTAATACTGAATAATACACAAAGTCATCTCCACGACAATTTATTGAGAAAACTTACGGGTTCATTTTAAATAATTACACCAAGGGAACATGTTTTCTGACATACGTATGTCCTTCATCAGCCTAATAAGAATTTACATAGTTCTACAATGAGAAAAAAAAATTGAGTAACCAGATTAATTCTTACCACTGATAGCTTACATGAAGGGTGAACGAAATTTTATTATCTAATAATCGTAGAGAATTGAAAATACATGAAAGTTAAATGGTCGATTGTTTTCCTAGGGGAATAACCATGAAAAACCCCCGTAGATGAGCATTCAGGAAAAGTATAGTCTTTATAACAGATTCCGCCTGATAGGTTAATGAATCCATCGTCCCAAGTAAGCTACATACCATATTTGAGAATATGTTACTGGGTAGTTTTATACTTATGGGCGAGTGAATGATTATTAAAAACCGATAATTCACCCTGTATCTCCGCTATGAAAACTGTGAGACTTAGTAAGTTCTTTCGAGCGATTTTTTGACTGGAATATATCGAAAAATCATAATTGACACTGGTTTAATAATTTCAATACTCCTCAAATTGACATACTTTCAGCTTTCTGTTTATGATTGTTACGATGAGAATTGGTGGCGGTAAAACAAAAAAAAGCATCAAATCCAGTTCAGTTTTTCCTCCTCTTTACGATTCTTTTGATGAACTCTGTTAATTATTACATACAGTGTGTTATTTCAATATTTCGAATAGATATGAATTTTTCCTGAAGCCGAACCTGTATTTTCTTTTCGCCCGATAGGTGAATGAATTCAACGTCCCAAGTTTAAGCTCCATACCAAATTTTAGATAAATATACTCGGTAGTTCAATACTTATAGACGAATGAATAATTATTCGAAATCGATAAATCGCCCTGTATCTCCGTTATGAAAACTCTAAGACCTACCAAATATGGTATTTTCAGAACCACCTTGGTGACCCCTATCTACCATTGAAATATTTCCCTTTGCCTGTAAAACATCCTGTATACAAGGAAATGGCAGTAGATTGGAATCTTTAAATATACTTTTGCATGATTGTGCGTTCTACCGGATAACCCGCTCAGAAATGGCTCTATATTTATATTGTAATCACTATTCAACCACCAATGTCTGTTTCAGTTTGCTGTGAGAAATGATTGTCACAGCGCATCTGTCACCATTCACACCTACCTATATCAATACCACTATACCAATCATGAACAAAATCTGTTGATTTTCCTAAAGTCAAGGCAAAGTTCTGAGTAGTCCATCACTCGTTTTTCTCAGCAATTTAGTTCTCCACCTCATTAGCTCACGGCACCTAATTATACCGAAGAGTAGATACCTTCAAACGATAAATACCATATATCGGTAGGCACAGCAGAAGTTAATTCATTAAAATGTATACACGTCAGCGTGTTGTGAGTGTCTCGGATCAGATATCAGAACTTTACTCGCAACTAAGCTACTAATCAATATCCCCGGATTGATTGAAGCGAACTTCCGGAAGACTTCAGAAATTAAGTTTCCTGCCCTGATAAGTTGTCACCTTGCTCCTGATGATTAGCGAGATAGCGGACGAGATTCTGTCGGATAAAGGAAAAGATACCTGAAAGTGTCTCAAGGAATCCAGGATTAAAGTCTCGGAGACTTTGATCTTCCTTGATGAAGTTGACATGGTTGTAGGAAAGAGCAATATTTCGATTTTTCATCAATACCTTTGGCATGTCTGATTAATATTTCGAGTTACTTCGAAAGAAGAGGAAAATATACAAGGTGTTTCACAAGTAGAGGGAAATATTTCAATGGCAGATTAAAAGCTGCCAAGGTGGTTCTGAAATAGTATATTGTTTAACGAGCACGGAATGATTAGGCTCGCATCTATTAGGCTATATTTCGAATTCAACTGACAGTACTGAACCTGCAGATTTTTCATTCCGAAATAAAAAAAAATCACTGAAAGTGACAAATACTTGTGAGCAAATATACTATTCATTCGAAATAAGTCGACTCAACATTCTGCTGAAATTGCTGACTATCAAAAGGTAGTGTGGCCTCAGTGAACTGTCATTATTTCAGAGGAGGAAGGTATGTAACATTTATTTCCGTTGTCTTTCAAACTTTTAGCCTCGCCTTATCAATAATATCATATTTAATATCAGAAAATGCTGTTATCGAAATTATTGACGCTGAGGATGATATTCAAATTTCACCCGCTGATCAACTACTGCAGATACTGATGAAAACCATGAAAATATGTTCCGAATTACAGCACGATATTTTCGATTCTATATTTCGGAACACAGATTTTCAGCTGAGTCAGTGGATTCATTGACAGTACTGACCGCAGTTGAATTCGGAATATAGCCTCAGACAGAGCTGTCATTGCTTGCAATTTGACATTCCATGAGCGATGAGATTTTTTTGAAATAATAACGAATGGAGTCATCGTGGTATCAGATACGGAAATGAAATTGATGACATACAAAGTACCTCATTGATGTTACTTGATTTACAAAAGCATACCACATATTCCCTAGACCAAAATAAGTCGATTTAAGTAAAATTACCTCAGTACAAAGTTGCATCGTTTGGGCTCCAGAGGGCCTTGAAGTTACAATTTTTAAATCGTTTTTCCCATATAAATTTAAAACGGCATATGCGATTTAGCTGGAATTTGGTATATTGAGAGTTTTATGTGGCAAAAAAAATGGTGTCGAAATTTTGGATGATAATAATACATAGGAGTAGAAATTCATTTATTAAATAATTGCACCTTCAATAATTCTACGTCACAGGTGCAATTATTTAAAAAATCAAATTCTACGCCTATGGCAGAAAAAGGGTTTGAGTATGAAATTTGGATTGGGTACTCATTTACTACAAAAAAGTACCCTTGATAACACTCGATTTACTCTCATGGTTTTGACAAAGTTTGTATTTTAATAGTTATTGTTTATGTTCTAAAATCACTAAAATGCAAATTTCGTCAAAACTGTGAGAGCAATCGAGTCTTATCAAGAGTACCTTATTTGAAGTGAATGAGTTGCGCAATCTAAATTTCATACTAAAACTTCCTTCCTTCTATTGGCGTAGAATTTTTGAAGGTGCAATTATTTAAAAAATCAAGTTCTACGCCTGTATGTATGTATTATTATCGGACAAAATTTTAACACCTTTTTTTTGCCACATGAAACGTTTTAAATTTATATGGGAAAAACGATTCAAAAACTGTAACTTCAAGGCCCTCTGGAGCCCAAACGATGCAACTTTGTACTGAGGTAATTTTACTTAAATCGACTTATTCTGGTCTAGGGAATTTGTGGTATGTTTTTGTAAAACCTTTTACAGACACCCTGTATATTGAATAAGAATTATCTATAACAAAAATATATAGGTATTATCAGGTATATGAGAAATAGGTACTTCCTACTTCAAATTCCTTGAAAATTGGAACAATTTGCTACGTACATATTCACAATGAATCAAATATTCATATTCATCAATAATATGATGAGATCTCTCATTGAAGAATACTTCATTTGAATCCATAACTATTTCTTTGAGAAGTATAATCATATCAATTAATTATATAACATCAGATTATAACAACAACAATCCGTCAACTACCTCAATGAGCTGGTTTGTGTGGTTGGTCAACTATTACGTCATAGTTTGGAATACACTTCGAGGAAAATTTACTTGGATCTTGTCCTAAGGTATATATTGGTCAGACAGGTCGTATGAT